TCTGTGCTGCACCTTTTAATGATGGCGGCTTACACTTTACGTGGTGTGAATTAACAGACGAAAAAATATATTTCCATAAACGAACTCGTAACTAACATCAAGAGCTTCACTTCGAACTTTTGACTTCTTCTTTAGTGGAGATTTGTGCAGGTGTATTCTCAACGCGCTTGCTAAACAGTCGGAAATATACAGAAAAAATTTCTATTTTTTCCTTTTTCTCACATTCCAAAATATTCAAAGCGTCATGGCATGCCAATGAAAAAAAATATTTTCTGAAAACTTTGCAATGACTTTCCCTTCTAAAACAAGTAATTGAGTCTAGAGGCGGCCTCTTCACTCTGGTATTGTGATAAAAAAATCATCTTTTTCTTGAGTTGCCATAATGGAAAGAAAAATATTGGTCATTCCAAACATTGTTGACACATGTAACGTAATTAAATATCAGGCTTTGGTAATTTATAAAGTCGAAGTTAAATAGAACAAGTAATACAAAATAACCTTAAAAAAAAAAAAAAAATGGGCGAAAGGGAGATGCATTAAAAGATATATTGTATTTTTCATAACAATTTGACGTATTTATCCGACCATCACGCTTTTCCTGTAATTTTAAATTTAATGCAAATAAGATGTGGCACATCTAATTATACCTTATACTGCTTGTGGTACAGGGTATGTTAAGTTGATGCGGACGTATGTAACACCCAGAATGGCTTAAGATAACCCCACCTTTTATTATGTCGATCAATTCAAAATCGTAATATGAATTGATCTAAGCCTGTCTGTCCGCCTGACGTATGTCTATGGAAAAATGTTTTCAAGCTGTTGGTTGCAGTTTTTGAGATATTTTGAACAAATTGACGTGTTTTGACATAAGGACGAACGCTATTGAAAATGGTTTTGATCGGTCCGTTGTTTGGACCGCTCTCCATATAACGCCTTATTCTGAAAGTTCGTTATATGGAAAAAAATTGCAATTTTCAAAATTTCCCGCAAAGATGGTTAAATAGTAGTGCTTCGGCATATCAAATTGGTATGAAAACTTGAGACCAGCTGCGGCAATTTTTGAACACCTCATATAATAAACGCTGCAGTTCATACGACAGTAAGGTATAATTTCCAATGCTTCATAATGAAAATTATGTCATAAGAGTAATTTAACATAAAAATTAACTGTAACAAATTTGGACCATCTCGACCTACCTTAAAAAGAGTTTTCACGAAAACTGATGCTTTTTAGAAAAGAAAGTCGAAACTGGTGATGAAAATTGACCCATAATATTAATTTCATACAAAAATTAACTACAAAATTTGGACCATTTTAATTTTGACTAATACCGTATGTAAGGTTTAGTTGCACCACATTACGTAGCGTTTTGGGCCTGTTTCCCCATAAATAACCACATTAACAATATGCCCTTATATAGAAACATATAATCGATATAATTTTTGTGTCTATAATAAAAATAGGAATTGTGTTAGATAACGTGATCTAGGGAATTTACTTGTTTTAATTGATTTCGTTTTGTAGATGCCCGTGGGGCACATTGACAACAAGTAAAGCAAAAAAAAAAAAGCTATATTAAATTGAGGGCTATGACGGCAAACATTTTTTTATATATTTGCTCTTATTATGGGGCTGATAATCAATTCAATAGTTTGCTTTTTAACTTAAAATATTCAAAGAGATAGATAATTCTAAAAATATTTGAACCAATATCAGTACCCAAGGCTAATTATATATGCATGGTTTAAATAGAAACCATATTAAAAACTCTAAACCTTGGCAGTATTTTTGTCAACAAGTACAACAAGTACGGTATAATTGTTTGTTACACATCTTTTGTATGACAATCATTTCCATTCACTCGCTCACAAATTTGTAGCAAATAAGAATTTTGGAGTAAGCATTCACCTTGTAAGTAAAGATTTGCAAGTAAGCAATTTCACTGTCCCCTTTTTCCCTTTCTTTATCTACAGAGGGACCAAGAGGTGTACCGAGATTTTCTCCGGGTTCACGTATAAGCCTTCTTATCTAACCGTGAAAGTTTAACGCCAGAAAATTTAAAGCAAAGTAATGTAACATATGCCGAACAGAAATCATTTAAATCTTCAAGATCCTTAGAAAAAGCTGAAATGCGATCAAAGCTGAAATTAACGACATGTTTTATGAACACAACGAAGGCGATCCTTCTTTTAAAATGAAAAATGAGGTGAGCAAATAGTCTAGTTCGCGGGCTGCAGGCTCAGCTAAACCCACATCAAAGGTCCGGGTTCGTTAGTGGAAACCTATGGTCCTTCTTTAAGGGCACCATGGCAGCGATAGAATACTTTTGAACAAAAAAGTGAAAAAACTGGAAAATGAAATCCCATACTCACTACTGTTGCTTGACTTACGTCATTAGCTGCCCATTTTCGGGATATTTTACTAGCTTAATGCCGCCAAGTAATATATGTTTAAATTAAATTCTTCTCTAAATATGGGTTAAAAAATATTAGATCTAACGAGGGATATAGTATTAGAAGAATTGAAATGAATACATGTATATTCATTGCATAAATACTTTTAGAAACACGGTTTTCTTCCAGCTGATTATTAAGCATTTGGTCTTATTCGGTAAATTTTTCAAAAATAAATATCAGCTCAGCAAAGTTTTTTCTAGATATTTTATTGATATGTATGCTAAATTAGCTTTGTTTTTAATTTTTCAGAGAATTTGGCAAGTTTTCCAACGGCAAAAATTATAAATTGCCATTACTTTATTCGCCTAAATAGTTAATTATGGAACATATTATTAGTTGTTAGTGCTTGTTTCTACTTGTCATCCGCAAAAACTCCACGCAACACTCAAGCTTAGTTATCGGGTATATTTTTGTTTATACTACGTGGGGTTCAAAAAACTACATTGACCTAATGCAGCAACAAATAGTACGTACAAGAAAAACTTCTAGCATGGGAGAAAAAGATAAAGAGACAGAAAAAAAAGTGAAAGAAAATGATAACAAGGTGTGTGTGGTTTAAACATGTATCGAACCCGTCACGTAAAAGAAATAAAGCAAAACAAGCTTTACTTTGGCCACATGACACGAAAACTTAAAGCTTGGAAAAAAACCGGTCAACTGTTACATATGAACAATAACAACACTAGCAGTTATACACATATTACGTCATTCCTTTTGCTAAAATTATATACGCATATAATAAAGATGAAAGAAACATAAGCCCAAAGAAAATGCAAGTTTTTGATATCAATAAAACAAACTGCACCACGTGGGTCTACTGTCAATAAAAAATCTCACTTAAGGTAGAAAAAATACGTATAGTGCGATTGCAATGATCAAGAAAAGAATCATTAGATGGCATATGGATCAAATATGTGAAATCGCATACGTACGTATAGACGCAAATTTAGTAGTACTTTTTGCCAAGTCTTAGTAGTTTAGACTTTGCACTAGGCTTCGCCCGAGGCTTGATGCGTCGATATCTTATGTATACCTTTTAGTCAAAAGATTCGTCAGAACACTATCTACGGTCAAGCACGACGATTAGATGCCATCCAACTTCGTTTCGTGATAACATTGCATACAAATCTTCCCCTCCATATATAAGAAAAACCAACTCGCGATATAGGGCGCATTTGGGTTGAAAATTCTCCTTACTTTTTAAAAAGACTAACTAGATTTACAAGTCATTACCAATGGGTTGAGAACATGTAAGATTTTAAACTTAATCGATGGAAAACAGTGAAGTATATGTAATCTCTGTGTGGAATTTCTTGTAAAAATTGAGACGACAAACGTAAAGAGTTGATTGTTCAGTGTTGAGATTTCTGTAGTCGTCGTAATCAATTAAGGGCTTAATTTACTCTGCATCGCTAGTAATCAGAAGATCGTAAACAGAATCCTCGCAACTACTTGTGATACGCTTGACTCTACATATACCTTAGATAAATAAAGAAAAATATACGGTTTTCACGCAATGCTTAAAGTATAATTAAACTTCAGATGTATTATTTATTGAATCAATGATTTACTTAGGCCTTGATTTGACTTTATTGTCGATAGTAACTCGCCGATCACAACGAACAACATCTTCAACGCTTAAATTTGTACCAATAGTTAAACCTATTTACTATTCAAACTTGCGATAAAAAACTTAAAAGAATCAGATGACTGAGATTATATCATCTGATCCAAAGGGCGAGAAAAGTTATCGAGCGGCTCCTTCGAGATCACTATTTTCGCAAATGACAGACGGGCGGACGCGGACGAATAAATCGATTCGTAAAATCCGCGTTCTGATGTGATCGATCGCGAGTTACCAAAGTTTGTAATTGTGTTTTCTTCTTATAGCTTTTGTGACATTGTATGAAATTTGATATTCCGAAGTTGCAGCCACTTTTAAACACCAATTTTGTAATCTCAAATAAAGTCGTTAAGTTACGAAAGCGATAAAAAGAAATATCATAAGAAAGAAGCGGTGTTTAAATGGAGAAAAAGTACGGTGTTAACGGATTATTGCAATATAATAACTAATGTATTATTTTGTAGCTCTTTTTTAAGAAGAATGCACAATTTTTACCCGAGAACTAATGGGCGAAGAAGCCTTCCAACTTTCATAGGAAATTCAAAAAATCACTTGAGGGGTGACTTTTTAAATTGAAAGCTCCTATCCTTCAATTGTTTTAACAATCCTTTACGTTATAAACCAATCAACCTAATTAAACTGATTAATAGTTCAATAAAGTTTCTATACACGCCCACCTGTGCTTATTTCTTACAAAATCATAACTATCGTTTCTTTTGCTTTTTCCTAAAAATTAATAAAATTTATAATTAGACCTCATAATATCAAAATGTTGCAAATTTTTCTTGAGATCTGCTTGACGCTTGTTAATGACTGCCTAATGGCTTGACGGAGGAATCCACTGTATACGTTGGAAATCTATAGTGTATGGTAATAATAACTTAATTTTTTTTTCAAATTTCCTTTTTACTTGCAGAGGCCGCAAACGTTTTGTTTCCGAAGGAGACGGTGGCAATATTAAACCACCAACTATACCCATTTGCGACTCTCTCCATCTTAAGATGAATGAATAAATTTTTCAAGGACTTGTTTTTCGAGACGGTAAAAACCGATATAAGAAACAAACGAAAAAAAAGGAAAAGAAGCAGCAAATAATTAATTGTGTGTAAAACAGAAAACCATATTTTGACCATATATTTGGATATAATTATCGAGTTATATATCAGCAATACTATAACTACTGAAACTACGGCTACAAATACTACTAATATATATGTACAACATTCAATTAACCATAAAATGGAGGATGGATTCCCCCTAAAACTATCTAAATTTACAACATATGCACCCCAAAATATATATAATATATGTGACTTTTTCTTGTGGATAGAAAAGCAGAAAATAAAATCATAATAACAACATTACCACCATTGGATCTGCAAACGAGAAAAAGAGAACAGCATTTCGTTCATAACCCTATCATTAAATATTAGCGAACAGTAACGTAACGTTCTATTTGAAAAGCAAAAAAAGCTAGCAAAAAATTAAAAAAAGCACTGTAATATAAGTTTTTGTCTAAAAAAATGCTAAGCCTTTTCTTTTTTATTTTTTTATTTTTTACATCTTTTTGGTTCTTTTCACGTTTACGAATAAAATCAAGCGAATTTGTCTGGAACAGTTGTATTTCACTAAGACACCACCGATTTTTTTTTTTTTTTTCTAAAGGTACATACACAAACAATAAGAATTAATAATGATTCCGAAAATCGGAAAAACATTGTAATGAAAGACCTACTGCGGACTACTACCATAGAAACCATAAACAAATAACGAAAAAGAAAACTGAGTAATTGTTCTGGTCACATATGAAAATCTTTAAATGAAAACAAAAAAAAATCGCAACAGCAACCAAAAATTTTCTTTTTTGACCAGCTAGAGAACACGTATACAGCATAAAAAAAGTTGATAACATTGAAAACAATGCGAACAATCGTTGCTCCAACATCAATACTAATAACGGCAATAATTACAAATTTATCCCGTTTTAAGAAAAGTGGTTAGTTTATTTATTGTTCTTAAATTTGTTTATATATAAATTTTTTTTCCCTAAATCGAGAACATTCTAGTAATAATTATTTTAATATTTTTTTTCTAATGATTTGCTGTCGAAATAAAAATTGTAAACGTTCAATAATAATAAAGCATGCATACATATATGAAATAAAAATTATTTCAGAGCAAACGAGCAAATTATGGAAATTGAAAATTTTTCATAGTCAACACATTTTTCTAGTAGTATCCTATGTAAACTTGTATGTAATACCCAAATCTTTTGCTGTTTACCCTTGCTTCCCCAAATTTTTTTTTTTTTTATAAATTATATAAATACAAAGAATTAGACGAAAAAAAATCGCAAATTTTATTTCACTCGAAGATTAACTTAAGAAATTTTATTAATTATTATTATTGTGTTCTTTGATTTTTTTCACATTTACGTTAAACTTTAAATCATTTTTTTATATATCAGCAGTAAAACTTTACTTAACCTTTAGGGAATTCTATCTTTTTAAATGAATTCTTTTATTGCATATAATTGTATTTTTCTATATATACATATTGTTATTATCAAGCCTTTTTTTTATATTCCTTCAATTTTTGAAAAAATAGAAAAAAACATTTTACTCCACAGTACAGATAAAATTACATATAAAGCAACCACAAGAGTGTTTATAGAACTATATGATGAAACCATATTTAAAAAAAATACGATTAAAAAATAAAAAACACTTCCTTTTAATGAAATGATTTTAATTGAGTAACGGTTTTATTTATTTTTAATGCGATAGCAAAAAATAGAGTTCCTTTGAAGTTCAACGCATTGTTTGAATTTATAACTGATGCCTACCGCTGTTGGGAGTTGTTGCACTCCTGCACTCCATCGACGTCGGTAGTGACTTTCTCTAAAATCTTACCGCCTTCTTCCAAATGTGCATAGTGGACAGTCGTTTTGATTTAACTAAAAAATTGATATCAAAAGAAGTAAAATATCCTCCCGAAATCCACATACTTGTTACAATTAATGGCGCAGTAAGCAAATAACCATTTGCGATGATTTTCTTCTCTGGTGCCATAAAAAAAAATAGTAACATGAAAAAGAAATTATGAAATACACTTTTGGGAACTATTTAAAAAAGAATTGGATAAACTTATAGCATATTTCTCAATATACGTCAATAAGTGTTCAGTCGCGAGAGAACTGACAAGCATACAATGGCAATCCACCCAGATGAAGGAGGGGGAACTCGAGATAAATATGAATAATTCGGAAAATCATTTTAGTTTTTTAAACTTTCTTTTTCGTTTCTAATTCTTTTTATAAATGTTTTTAAATTTTCATCAAGTTGTCCTACATAGATTTGTTCTGTTGTTTTGTGAAGCGCCATGCAATGTCATATGTGCAATTTCACGCAAATGTTGTACAGACCAGCACAAGTGTTCGCAAACTATAACATTTTAGCAGGAGAATTACGATCCATTCCCTTACTGCACAAAATTTCCCATCTTCGCTTAATACGCCTGCTGGAATATCATATTGAATGAAAACATTATGCAAACTTATTTCCAAGATGGTAAAGGAAATGGATGTTTACATGATTTTCGCCTGGTTCTGGTTCGTCACCCAAACGTGCCTGAAGTAATAACATGGAAGAATCCATAGTTTTCCTCTAAATAACATTAAAATATATATTTGTATATTTTCATAGATAAGTTAAACTTATTTATTTATTTCTTTTCCTTGCTTCTTTTTATAATTGAAAATAATTTCTTCTACTTCCTCGTTTTTCTTTGCATTTATTTGCTTGTATATTCACACCAACGGTATTATGTATACAACGTTAGTTTTAGAAATATGCATAAATAGTAGCATAATGACAGAGTTCGTCCCATAATCAAGTGAAAATTCAAATTGAAAACAAAACTTTGCGAAGACTATATGTAATAGATAATTTTGTGCAAAGCCACGAACCCTTTTACGGTTCTCATCATCGTGCGCTACGAAACACTGACAACATTTTGCTTTTGCTTTCATATTGAGCTTGGCTTTTCGTTCGCTATATTTATAAGGGAATATTAGTGATATCAACGCCGCCTGTATAGTACAATAAAATTATGCAAAAAAGAGATAGAAAACTAAGTAAATTGTAGAAGCTTGATCTTTCAAAAAAACGAAATTAGTATAATGAAAAATGACTTTACTTATATTAAAACGATCAATTTAGCTTGGTTTAAAAAAAAATTTTTGGTTTTGGGCGGAGGATATTAAAAAAAGATTTCTGGAATCATCCATGGTTAGACTGACGTTTGAAAAAAGAAGTAGGGACATTGGAATCGGGCAAGGCCGACGATTAGATACTCTACATCACTTCGCCTGGCACAATTATTTACTCGTTTTGGTAACAATACACAAAAAATTACACATTGTTTGCATGCATACTTTTTATAAAAGCTTCTATATTGGAGAACGCTCGAATTATCCCATGACGCAATTCAAATTTTAGAAACTTAATTTACTTTCTAAAAATTGTATTATTATTATTATTATTATAATTTTAGACTAATGAAATAAATTCTTAGACTAAAAAAAAAAGACATTGAGCAGTAGCAGCACAGGCTATCGGCTCTAATATAAATAAATTTAATTAGATAATGAGCTTAGTAGTATTAATAAAGTAATACATAGAATTTATATTCGGTTCTGAAGCTGATTTTAGAATGTCCAAAGGGTTTGTCGCTCTAAATGCAATACTTCTAGCCAAAGAAAACTTAAGGCAGTTGCAGAGAATGTGCTTTATAGTTAGAGTTTGTCCACAAATGCAGATTGGGGAGGAAGACTTCTTCAAGATCCATTGGTGAGTGGCAATAGTATGACCAAGGCGAATTCTCGAAAATGTTTGGATCTTGGTTTTCTCAACGTTTGTTGGATATAAAGGTGGAATTAATTGAGGGTTATTGGAAGAGTAGTGTTGGTGATGGTATTGTAAATTTCCTTCTGCAATTTTCTCTTTAAGTTTTTTTCGAATGTATTTTCGAAGATCCAACTTTTCCATGACAGCATCCATAAATAGAGGAGCAGAAGCAGCATACTTTGCCGCTCGATCAGCCTGCTCATTTCCCAATATACCGATGTGATTTGGTACCCATAACATTTTAATTTTTCCGTCGGGTGTAGTAAGTACATTCCTTAATTTGTTGATGGTGCTCAATCTCGAAGTCGAAGGGTTCCGAATAGCTTGTAATACTGACAAAGTGTCGGTAACAATGACGGTTTTGAGTTTGCTTTTATGGGCAAGGTTCGTAGCGTGAAGAATAGTTCTTGTTTCGGTTGAGAAAGTTGAATTACTTTCGTGAAAAATGTGATTGAGAAGAACCTGTCCTGTAGCATCTATCACGGCACAAGCCGGAGGCAGGCCAAAAGATTTTGAGCCGTCTGTGCATAAAAGATTCCAACCAGTACTCTTACCAATACTTGGGTATTTTCAGCTATTAGATTTCTGAAGACGAAATTTGGAGTACCTTCTTTCTTGCGCATAGACAACGAGATGTCAAAAGAGCAGTCTTTCAAAATGGAGGTTTAACAACAAAAGAGCGGAAAATTTTTAAGGGTATATTCAATTCCTTTGCGACGTACAAACAATGGGGACTATTTTGGCTTTTAACTCATAAAATCTATTTTCTAAAGTTGGGAGACCAGTTTCAATTATAATATTATTTATGGGCGTCGTCCGAAAAGCATAACACCTTGCTCTGACGGCTTGGTGATAGACAGGTTTAAGGATGTTGATATTAGATTTGCAACTATTGCCATAAATTATCAAAGCACAGTCAATCTTGCTTAACACACGCATTTTGGTAAGATAAGCAATAGTGTTAATATGCGCATGGCTTCTCCAAGCAACGTACTGTATGAAATTCATCCTTGTCAAAATGGAATTTTTTAACCGAAGACAGTCAGCTTTCCAACGATGTTTGTTGGAAAAATTGAGTTCGAGAATATGCAGCGTCTGCAAGTTTAGTACTGGTAAGCCATTAATATGCAACAGTAGATTTCGTGCATCGCAAATCTGCTTTCGACAAATGTGCATTTTTTTACATTTTTGTATGGATATTTTAGCCCCTGACGAGTTTGCCCATGCGGAGATCTATCGTCCAATAGATACGAGGATGTTGATTGCTTTCGTGTCATCTTTTTCTTTTGTAAAAATGTATACATCGTCCGCGTAGAAACAACGTTCCACTCTTTGTACACGGCAAAGAATTTTGCTAATTTCGTTGAAGGCGATCTGGAAAAGCATGACAGAAAGGAATTAGATAGATGATTATTGATTCTAACTTTAAACCACCGATGCGACATGAATGATTTGATGTAGTTGAAGAATTTGGGTCCAACATTCCATGATTTCAAGAGTCTTAAAATAACATGAAGACCAATTCTGTCAAATGCTATTTCGCAATCAATTGAGAGAATTGTTACGTGATTTCGTTCGGAAATTGCTTTGCTTGTGAAATAATTAATGTGTAACAGAGCGTCGATGCACCCTCTACCCCTCTTGAAACCAACTTGTTGCTTTGTTATCAGGTTCTTGGACTCAAGAAACCAAAATAGTCTAGATGCCATAATATTTTCCAATTTTGAGAGGCAAGATAAAAGAGAGATTGGGCGATCATGCGATGCGATGG